GGGGATAATATGCAACAAATACGTTTCACCATGCTTGGTAATGTATGCGCATAATGCTGTTCTTGCAGTACAGGAATGTAAATATTTCTGACGTCAAAACTAATGACGTCATATACAGCAGTGTATCACAGGTTGCACATTCTGGATTACATCACCAGTTATGAAGTATTCAACTGGCTGCTGACAAAGAAATCACAGACAGACATTTCATCACTCTCTGAATGCTCTCTGTATAATACAATCTGTTTTTATGTGCCGCACTGGAGTACGTACTATATTTACCTCATTATTACAGGATGAAATGCCATTACAAGGCAGTATGTTCAGTGCTGTTGCAAAGAAGTATATTCCTGCCATTATTATATATGTAATTTACATTCTGTCTGCTTTTAGGACCTAGCCTGCTATTATGAACTTCTTAAACGTGTATTTCATGATTCTGTGAAAAAGACTTCAGAATTCCTGTCATGTTATTACAAACTGTTTCTAGATCTGACGGATACGTCCTTCCTTACCTACATACTGGTAGGCAGTACAGTTCCTTCAATGCTATAATATACATTATTTCCTGGTATAATGACGATTTGTACAGAGTGTTTCCTAAGTCTTCGAAGATATTTCAGGGGGCGATTCCGTGTGATATTCCATGTAGTATATACAGGGTGATTCATGAGGAGACTCACTTCGCCAAATGGTATATAGGGGAAATATATACGGGTTGATGTATATATATGAAAAATTTTTTTGGTCATCCATAACCAAGATACATGGTATTATGTGAAATTGCCATATATACAAGTTTGTTGGTCGATATTTCAGAAATGATTCATCGTTATTTGCTGAAAGTTGGCTGCGACGTTTCTCTATTGAAACTACGATTACGATGAATCATTTCTGGAATATCAGCCATCAAAGTTATATGGAAATTTCACATAATATGGATGTCCAAAAAAGTTTGTCAATTTCCCCTATATATTCACCATTTGGCTATGTGTCTCCTCGTTGATCACCTTGTAGTTCCTATAAATGTATGTGTGTCTGGAATTACGAATAAATAAATTCTGAGATAAAGAGAGTAATGAGAGTCGGATCGAATAAAAAGATGTATTGATTTTTTATTTCTCATCAGAAACAGCAATATAGGTATACTTATTCCGCAACTATAAATCAAAATAGTTAGCCGAGTAGTTAGCAGATGATATCACATTTTCAAACCAAATAAAGCAAAGAGTTCAACATCCACAAGAAATAACGTTATGATTTTTGAAGAACCAACAAAACATGTATTTGTAATCTATTTTCAATAGTCCTGTATTTCAGAAATTAGGTTGTTGTGGACACAGATAATTTATACGAACTATATCTTGACTGAATATCAGAAGAAATCACCCCTGATGAATTTTCTTTATGTATTCATAAGAATACCGCAAAAACAAAATGCAGATTCTACTTACCAAAGTAACCATAAAGAATATAGATGAATCCTGATTTACGTATTTCACCAACTGAGTCACCTACCATCTGATTTCACTGCATAGTAAGTTAATATGAAACAATCACTGTAATGACATATTTCACAATAGCACATTAAGATTGGAATGATTATCAGGAGAATATTTCGAATGACACATATTACAGGCTGACTGACAAAGAACGCCCCAAGTCATAGCGCTGCTATGTATTATCCGATTTCGAAAAACTAATAAGTAAATGAAATAACTCATCAGATAGGTACTAGGGTGGCACCAACTTTTTTTTTTCAAATTGCATCATGATTATATTCTTTCATTTTCTTCTGATGGCATCATAATTATATTCTCTCAATTTTCTGATGGAGTTTTTATTCAATACAATGATGTAGAAGAAGTTGAATTTCGCGCAAAATTAGTTGGAAAAATGTATTGTTCCGTTGACAAGACGTGGATCTACTCATTTCATTTTCCAGTTTGGAATTACCTACCTATATGAATACATTTATTTTCAATAAATCAGTTTCTTGACATTATAATGTCTTCTTCTACAAGAGACAGACTCTATACGGTTGATTACTCAATAGGAAATGTAATAAGGAGATCCATTTCTTGTCGGCGGAGCAATAATTTCATTCATCTAATTTCGCCTTGTTGGTATATCATTGTATTCAGGAAAAAAAATGAAAAGAGATATATGTTGCCAATTGTAAAAAGATAGTTGACAGCCACTGTCTTTGTTTAAATTGTGAAAAAAATGCTTGTGCCACCTTGTATTATCTGCATGAGTATTTTCATTCGTTTTTTTGTTTTTCGAAATCGAATATTAGATAATGGCGGTATGGCTTAGGGCATTTTATGTCAGTATAAGCCTGTAATATAGGGTCAGGTAATCTGGAATTAAAAATTTTAGATTTAGACATAGGATGGGCCACTTCACTTTTGGTCGCATATAACATGCAATAGTGTGTCTAATCATAATACAAATTATTCGTTTCTGGAATTTTATTGAGAATTGATTACAAAGAATATAAATGAACAATCAAATCCATTCGATGATCTATTATATATAAATATATTATATTCTAATATTGAAACATAAAAATCAAATATATAGTTTCCTCATACTTCAATCCAAAATAACAGTGGTAACTTAAGATATATGTATAGGTACATAATACAAAATAATATGTCAATCCAATGGCATTCTGACTGTCACATACGACTTCAGGTCATTCATTACTGTTAATGTATTTGGCATACAAGAAAAGAGAGAACTGGACTCCATGAAAACAGTTTCAGTAGTGTTGCATACATTATAGGCATAATAATGTAAATCAAAGTCGATAGTTTCGAAAAGTTTACATGAAAGAAATACATTGTCGTTATTGTTCACATATAATTCTTTTACTTCCGCAAATAGGGGCTTGAATGTATCAATGCATAGATCGATGGTAACAACTGAGGATATCTCTAATTTGAAACCCTTTATCTTAACCCATCGTACAGAATACAAGTGACTACCTAGTAAATCGAGCTTTTCTTGAGTGAAGTTGGATGGAAGTGCATTAGCTTCAATTTTGATCTTCTTTCCACAAATCATCTTGCTGAAGAATCGATTATTTATGAGAATGTCATTCAATGCTAATTGATTTTTAATCGCAATTGTTTTGCAAATATTCACTCGACTGGAAGAGGATCGAGCCGTTATTTTGGAGGCTCTGTGTTTACCTTCGAAACGCATCGTCCAAATCTGGGTTAGTGGACCAAACTTAAGGAGCATCTCTGGATAATGCACGAGGAAATGAAACTTGGGTTTGAGTGCAGACTGTGTGAGTTTAATATACAATTCATTCAGTCCCGCAACCCAAAATTGCAATTGTTGTGAAGATTCATTACTAACTCTAGGGTTCACCAGTCTATCCAAAATCCTCCTCAAATATATATACAAATCCCATACTTCACAGTCATTAGGAACATAGTAACCTACTAAAATACCAAAATATCTGACTAAAGTCATCATCTCGGCAGCTGACGTTTTCAATTTCAAAGTGCTACCATCAACAATAAGACAATTCGTGGGCTTAGAACCTGAGTCTGGGCCATAATTGAAACTAGCTATTTTGCTCTGCATGATGTTCAACGGCACGAGCTTAGATTCTTGCACGAGAAATTGTACAACATAAGACATAACATATCGACAAGCACCTTCTAAAAAATCATGGAGTAGATCAACGGAGACATGTTCAAAAAGTTGAAAACCATCTAATGAATTGAGAAAAACACACCGTTCCTTGATGCCAGTTTCTGAATAGTTTCCTAAAAATACATCCCTTCCGTAGCTTTCTGGTGATCTTAATAAAACTTTGTCCTCGTATAACATATATTTAGTTTCTTCTCTATGTGCTGAACATATCCGGCAGAAATGATTCGCTACAAAACTCTCTACAAAACCAAGAATTCCATTTAAACCAAGGTTGTCTCCTGTGATACAAGCAACGTGAAACTTGATGGTACCCGTATAGGCATCTGTTGTAACATTTATGCCATTGTTGCGCAAATTATTCAACACTTCAATAACTTTTTGAAACACCATATTGTTTCCAAAATCGACTCTGTCTGATGCATGAAAGAGTGCAATAATGAAAATATTATCGAGCTGAGAAACATAATGACCTGGGAGAAATGGAAGCGATAAATATACTCCACCCAATTTATGTACTGTCGCATGACTACCCAGAGGGTTCCCGACTTCAAAATCGTCATAAAATAATATCAAAGGCAGATTCAAGTGATCTCCATCTCCTTCCTTGGCCATGATGTCTCGCCATACTCTGCCCTGCATGATATTTTCAATATCGCCAGTTGAATGCTTGAGGTAATCTAAGTGTTCTAAAATATCCTTCAAGATACCAGGCATTGAAAAAAAGTTTTGGAATACTTCTGCGATCGGTATAACCTGCATTGTGCAAGGTGCAGGTACTAGATTGAACCCTAACAATGTGCGTCTAGGTTCCATGCGCTGCCCTACAGTCACCTCAAGAGGAGGAATATATGTTCCCATTTTTTCGAATAGTTGAAAACGCTTGTATTCGGTTAACAAATGGGAGCCACTTTCAGCATAATCGGTAAGAACTCTTTCAAAGGTCAACTTAATATCGTTTGGCAAATCGATACCCTGAACATCAAGAGACTGGTACACACTATTGAGAATTTGATTCTTAGACTTCGCCATTAACTCAGATAGCTCAACAGATACATGTTGCACTAATCTACGAGAAACACCTGGTTGACTATAAAGAGAGGACAAAAATGCTGCTATATGTGATTCGAGTACATTTTTAGGTAAACTTGTGGGTACCTCTTCCTGAACGGCATAAGTAGAAGCTTCGCATGATGAGGATGGCAAATGTTCCACATGACTTCCCACTATAGAAGAAACTGGTCTGACTTTATGACATTTGTCTAAGTGTTTGCGTAAGGAAGAGAAAGTTGAAAAATGCCTTGAACAAGAATCTTGACCACAATGTAATTCTCTAGTACCAGCCAAAGATGCACACTGCGATCTCATATGTTTCACTAATCTATAGGACAACTGAAATAATCGGTGACAGCCATAGCATTTAAACATTATTCAAAAGGTTGTCCCAAGTCTGTCAACAAATGTTTGATGGATTGAGACAGCCTATCGTACTTTGTTCTTATCTTATAGAAAGCGACTTGGATCAAAAGCCACAAGTCGGTTGCCTCTTCTGGATAACAAGCTCCAGTTGCATGAAAAATTTTGAAAGCCCCGTCAACCGCCCCTATTGCCGAAGTAAAATTATAAATTGTGTCATCTACTATGACATGAAATCTGTTTGCCTCTTCCAAGGTTTGACCAACAATGACAATCAAAGGTTGAAAAGATCGGCCTAACCCTTTATATTTATTTTTTCGAGCCTCCAAAGTCGGCAGTATGTCTGCCTCAGTCGGAACTTGGGTTATGAAAGCATCCCTTACCTCGGATCGTGAGGGTTTCCAAGTTTGTTTCCCCTGCTTCTTTATTGCAGGTGGTACACTCAATAAATAAGGCAGCAGGAGAAGTATCGCTATGCCACTATTGTTCTTCCCAGGTTCTAAAAAATTGAAAATCATTAAGATTATTATTTGTGAAGTTCTGCCCGATATCATTTGGGTGGCAGAATTCTTTCACGGAATAGTCAAGTTTTCAAACGCAGTGACATTTTGGGACAAATCATCTGTTTAATAATAATTACACTCATATCTTCATTTATGAAAACGATGAAAAAATATCTCAGAAAATTTAGAAGAATGATTGTTGAATCAACAGAATCTATTTCACGTCATCTAAGAATTTTGTTGAATAAAATAAAGTTCTGTTCTGTTTTGAATAAGTCTATGACTCATTTGGAATTAATATACAGGGTGCATCTGAATTACACCAAGAAAAATTGAAGGATGATTCTGTGATAAAAATTAAGGTGAGTATTTGGTATACAATTTTTTGAAAAATCTCTCATCGGAAAAGTTACACTCTTCTGAAAATCAAATGAAAATTGTTTATCTTTTTTATTTCCCCTGTATATTAAGCTGAAGACTCGAAACTTGGTAAATATTATTTGTCAACAATGCAATGTCCTCAAACAAGTATGTTCAGAAGGTCTTAACTTTTTTTGGATAAAAATTTTTCTGTCAAAAAAACATGGCAAATGCTCAAGTTTTCGAAAAATCTTTTAGAGATAAAAAAGTTAGTGAATCAATTGGGCTTTTTCGCCACGTTTTTTTTTTTTTAAGAAAAATTGTTATCCAAATGAAGTTGGAAGAAAAAAATCTCAGGGATTGAATATTATAACCCCTTGTAAGCATACCCAGGGTTGAAAACATTTCAAAATGTGTAGTTTTATAAACAAATGATATTCACCAAGATTCGTGTCTTCAGCTTGATATACAGGAAACTTTTTTTTTTCAAATCTCCGGTGGGGTGTTTCCTTTGCGAGGAGAGGTTTATCAAAAAATGTTATACCAAATACCCACCTTCAATTTCATCACAGAATCACCCCTTAATTTTTCTCGATGTTATTTAGATACACCCTGTATAATTTGATTTCCGTATACATAACATAATAGATTTCAGTATTTCATATCTCATGAAAGATGAATGTATTCCATACTTGATATTCATATATTTTAACTGGGTGTTTCGTATATCGTGAAGTTTTCACCATGCAGTAAAAATTGAATTTCGCCACGGGGATATATATGTGCAACCTCTTGCGCGCATTTCCGAATAAGATAAAAATAAAAATAACACAAACGAATCATGAATTTCGATCTATGAAGAGGATGATATAGGTACTCTGAAATTAACTCACCCTCAGATACCGCCGATAAGTAGATATCTAACTGCCTTCTATATTCTGGATCTCTCGAGCTGCGCTTCCGCTCTACAGCTAGATTGACCAAACTTTCTTTAAAATTGATCACGTTACTGTATAAGTGATTCTCGGTATCAGGATATAAAATTGTAAAATCTTCCAGTAGCTGTAACAGGATATTTCAGTTATATTTCATAAATCATGTCATTGAATGAATCATTCCAGAAAAAACATTCTTACCAATTTATAACCCTGATGTTGCTTGAGTACTGGGTATCTCTTAAAGTACTCAGAAATACTCTCTCTCTCTATTTCAATTTGTTTAAGTCGAAAAGCAGCTGTCTCCTTCCAGTATAGTTCGACCAGGGCCCACGGCTCAACACTGTTGGCTAGCCACTTCAAATGTTCGTCGAGTATAGAATTCTCTAAAAGACATAATAATATGAATGAAGCTCTCGAAAAATCCTACAGCTCATTTTTTATGAGTGTTACAAAATAGATGAGAAAGAGGCATATACCTTCTGGTTCCGGACCCCTCGATGTTGATGGTCTAGGAGAATCTTGCCTCAAGGATGTAGATGAGCTACTCCTTGATCTTCCTCGAGGAAGTACACCTAATTCTCTTAGTTTCCTGCGTCGCGAAATATACGCTTCATATAAAACGCCGCTGGCGTTTTTCTTCTTCTGATATTTAGACGCAGCTAGAGATGAAGCGAAGTAAAGAGAGGCAGACTCCTTAGAGAATATGGAAACTATTTGAAGGGCGATTCGGGTGAAAGTCACGCTCTGTATTTTGTAAGCTGGATCATTGGCCAGCATTTGCCTGATTAGAAGCCTAGATAGTTCTTTTCTCTGCGCTTCTTTGAGTATATTATTTTGTTTGCCTGCAGCTAGTATTGCCCGGCCGTCAACAGAAGCATTCAGAACAGTTTTGACCTGCGAAATTTTGGAAAACTAGAATCTCATTGATATACATTTTTATTACATTTTCGAGCCCATATGACCCTTGGCATTTTCTTGCGTAATATTATGTAATACAGAGTAATCCATTCAAGAAGACCACAATATGCGAAAGTTAATGGAAGTAAAAGTTTCTACTTGAAAATGTCCAATTTGACACGAAACAAGAAAATCCGTAGGGCCATATACAGGCTTCATCACGGAGTTTGAGATGAACAATATTTATGTTGGTGACAAAAAGAACTAACCAAAATGTTGATATCATCTGATTAAAAAAAAAGTTGATACTCACTCAGCAGCAAATTTATTTCATTAAATAATCAGAAAATATACTTATTATTGGACTTACGAAATCTGGCTGCAGCGAAACGCCGATATCTGTACCACAGGATGGAGTTGTCAAATTTTCCGCAACTTGCGTTAATGACTGAATATCACCTTGATTTGTAAAACCGTCAGGGCCTGTTATTAGATCATCGGCAATATCTAGTACTATAGGTATATCACCAATATCAAGGTTTTCACTCTAAAAAAACATTTCTGTTTAATTTTATTATAACTTGACAATTCTGAATAAATAGATTATCATGCACTACCAAATAAAGGGAAGATTTGTACGGAGATCTTGGGAATTATAGTAGAAACGAAGGTGTCAATACTGTCAATGGATATTTGAAAAAAATTATATTCGCCTATTCTCCAAAACGCATCTAGATCGATCCGTAATTGATTCAAGAAGAAAATGTCAGCTATTGTATTCATATTTTTCATAAATGTATTCAGTTATGGAATATCGGATCCTTATTTTTGAAATAGTAATTCTCAATACAATTCTATTGACAAAATTTTGTGGAAATCTTATCGTTTGTTGAGTTTTCTTTGCCAATTCAATTTGAAAAAAACACTAATCTTTACCCATTTTGACCCACATACATATAGGTAGGTTAGTTTGTTCAGAAAATTAGTCTCCTTTCTCACTGATTTATTTGATCTACCTGTCCTTTTATGATTAAAATTGATAGGTTCGCTGCTGAATTCCAAGTTTATCGAGATATGAACTCTAGTCCATATTATTCCAATTAGATCTATGATTCCAACTTTCTTTCAGAACTAATCTGTTTGAACTAAGTGCATTCTAAGTATCCAAATGAAAATATATAGGAAGGTGGTAATATATTTTTTTAATATAATTACACGTTACAGTATCTACTAGGAGCGTTTTGGAATAGGTAAGAATCAGTTTTTCGTATAATATCAATTGATAGCTGTGAAATTTTGGGGGAAAACCAAAATTCATTAGTTTTGAGGTGAGCTCACGTAGAAGTTCAATTATCTGTCTATACTGCGTGTCTTTCTTCAAACGACCCCCTCTATATCTCAGCTATTATATAGTAGCGGCATTCTTACCAAATTCAATTCGTTATGAATAACCAACAATATGATCAATCAAAATATGTGGGTTTGAAACCATGAGGAACGATATTATGAAGTCAGTTTTCCTGTTAAAAAATTCCTAATTTGGTTTCATAAAAAATTTACCCCTGTTCATTTTGATAAAAGAGCACTGCACTGTCCAAAATGATTTCCGTCTCAGGAAAATGGATCATATTGATGCTTATTCATACCGGTCTAAATTTGGTGAGAATTCCCATACTAATATATACCTGAGATATAGAGGGGGGAAGCGTTTAAAATGTATAGCCTTTTTCTTATTTATCAGTAAGATAGTTTCCATGATCCCTGTACTAAACATACAAAAATCACCCTATATGTTGGTGTGAAAATAAAATGAAAACAAATGGGCTTCAACTAACAAGACTACAGCCATCCGGTACTATTCTTTAAAAAAAATAATAGACAATGATTCATAAATAAATATTGTACTGGGTGGTCCAGGTTAACCGTCATTAATCTCGAGTGCGATATATCTACAAATAATGCACTTGACTTTCGTCAGAAATTGTTTCTCAAGAGAGTTACAGGGTGTCAAATCTTCAGGCAAAAACTGGTTTTGTCATCATAACTTTTAAACCATTCGACCGATTTCTATCACTTTATATTTCTCATTATGTATTAGGTTGATTGGCAAGTCAAGACGCACTCGAGTTTTTCAATTTGACAATGATTTTAGGCTTGACTTTAGACGTGTGTTTGCGACACTTCAAATTCGAATAGGTATCTCAAAAACGAACCCATAAATAACAAAATTATCAGTTTCTACGTCACTGGATAATCTCTCTGAATCATTTTATTCATTAATTTTATAGAGATGTACTACCTTTGGTATGTGTGCGAAATTCAAAGAAAATCGGTCTAGTAGTTTAGAAGTTATGATGAGAAAACCAGTTTTGGCCCAAAACTTTGAGTCACCCTAGTTCCGTGAAGAAACATGTTTTTACCGAAGTTTCTCCGCATGAATGTCTACTTTGTTTCTTGTTGTTCTATCACCTATCAAAATAATGATATAGAACCTGAACCACCCTGTATGTTCAACGATCAAGTCATTTGAGACACCAACATATAGGCTGAAATCTGATGATTGCGAGGTTTGATGAACTAATAAAAAATAAGAAAATGATTTACTACCATCACTGATTGACTAGCTTTATTAAGATTGTCGGTCCATATTTTCCAATTCTCTCTCAATTTCACTCTCAACCCTATAGGTTTGACAATGCTCTCAAAATCTCCTTCATTCAACAATCTTAATGTTGCCGTATCAATCAAATGCTCTGCATAAAGGAAATAACATTATTAGTTGCATTCTTGTTATGTAAAAATAATAGGTATACCTAAACGCATTCACAGAGGTAATCTCACCTTTCTATATATATCTCCTTGAAGTTATATAGAAAAAGGAAGGTGAGTTAACCTCTGAATGGAATTTCTTCGGGAAATTCTGACAGCTGAAGCTGTTTCAATTAATTTTTGGTTATTTACTACACTAGAAATATCCCAAATCAATTAATTTTTGGTTATTTACTACACTAGAAATATCCCAAAGTATCCCTCACAATTTCTAATAACCCTCCAACCTCATGGAATTTCATTTGTTGAATTCACAGTTAGCTAATTTACGCATTTCAGAAGACGTGACTCTTGACATATTTCTAAAGGCCGCCTGTAGGCACACAAGTAATTTTTTCTACGGCTATGACACAAAATAGCTTTTTCTACGGCTATATAAAACAAAATTGCTCTTGTTTTACTATGTTCGATGAATCAATGAGGTAATTTTTGTATGTCATCAATTTCATTTCCGTATCTGACATCACAATGACTCGATCCATTGTGTTATTATTTCAGAAAATCTCATCTCCCATGAAATATTATCAAATTTCAAGCAATGACGAAAACCAGATGACTACAAGCCGAAGAAATAAAAAATTTCGCTGTTATCTGTTACAGCCGTAGAAAGAGTATAGTGTATAACTGTGGTTTAACTCGCACGAAATGCTAATTTCCCACGAGAAAGAAGTTTGCAGCATGAGTCGTAGCGGTAACAACTTTTTATGTCATCTGTTCCAACCGTAGAAAAAGTATAGTGTATAACTCGCACGGAATGCTATTTCCCACTCGTTGGATTTGCAGTATTCGCCTATTCGGTGCTCCTAAACAATATAATATTTGTTGTTTCACGTAGCAGCAGTATAATCTTTGGTATGTAACAAATAATGATGATGGCTGTTTTCAATCAAAGTGAATATTCATTATACTTGGACCGCTATAACAAAGATATTGTAACACGAAAGTGTGTGTGCCTACACCAGTCGGCCATATATAGGTCAATAGTAAAAAAATGGAACCCTTTAAAATTTTGAAATAGAATGAAATACTTGAGCATCAGTTTTCTATTTGCAGAAATTGAAACCCTCTCCTCACGATTGTATTATGCTTTGTTAATATGGATGATGGGTTATATAATGATGTAATAATAATCATGAGTTCAAAATGTTGAAAAGCCATCAACAAGCACTGTAGGCATACACTATACATACCTTATACCAAAGGAATGAATTAACAGAAAATGAATTACTTATGGAAATTATTCTTACCTTCAAATGTTTTAATTAACTCAGGGACACCCCAAGTCTGCAGAAGATATTTGGTTTCTTCGTCCATAGGTAAGTATTTGCAAACCACAAAACTGAACTGACCGAACACCTTCGAGATTTAAATGTGAATGAGCCCTTTGATCTATGTTTCCACAATTAATGCGTCGATGCATCGCAGTCCGCGTGGATTTTTAACTGCTTTTAAGGTAATTTCAATCTGCAGGGTGGTGCAGATCGAATGACTTCAGTTCCGATTAGCTAAGCGGCCGTATATTAGAACCAGAAAGAATGGTGTTACCACTGAGTGATGCAATTCAGCATTTTGACTTGCACGTATACAAAATTACAACATACAAATGAATTGAGTAGGTAACATTATCATCAGGTAATACTATTATGGCGATGCGGGGCTGAACAATGTCTTGAAGATTAAATTGTGATGACCATCAGGGTGAGAAAAAAATATACTGTTTTAATCTTAATCTTACAAAAACACCGATGTATAGGTACGTGCTTGACACGCAAATCATGCCATTCGTGCTCCTGATGGTGAATAAGTAGAAACCTACATGATGAAATATTTTTTACATAATAATTATCAATGTTATGATAGGTATATATTGATAGTGCAAGAACCGTTTTATCCTCACGATTGGACTAAGTTTTTTCATGTTTTTTTTGCCATGCAAGATAAGGATAAGGTTCTCTGCTTGGAAGACACAATCAATATAATATGCGGCAAAATAATGTTATGAGAAATCTATCATCTGGTATATTCTGTTGTACAGAATGATGATCAGGTATTCTGCTTAGAACACACATAACATAAACTGTTATAAGCAACGTATCATCTAGTATATTTTGCCGTACAGGAGAAGGATCGGGTATTCTGCTTGGACGATAAATATGCGGCGAGATCTACTGTTATGAGGAACGTATCCTCAGGTATATTCTGCCGTACAGGATACGGATTCGGTATTATGCTTGAAAGACACATCTGCGGCAACTATACTGTTTTAAGGAACGGAAATCTGGTATATTCTGCCGTACAGGATCATGATCAGTTAATCTGCTCTAAAGGCACATACTGATCCCTTCGTTGTATGTTATACACTTACAAGCAGTATCCGCAATGTGTATTATCCTTACTGAACTCACTCTTGGTATTTCATCATGATTACGTAAGCCATATCCAGTGTAATGATATTACGGAAATACCATTTCATGGAATGATGTTGAGACCAACCAGAATATCTGCTATGATGCTGTTTCATACGTGATGAAGGTATTTCATGGATATTTAAAGGTGTTACGTACGTAATAATGCAAAAACCGTTACACCCTTATGGCAGGACTAAATTTTTTCCTCAGTGCACCTGTAACCCATTTTGGTTACCACTACCAACAAGTAAGAATTTTCCATAAAGAAACTTCCAGAAAGGTCACCACCAGTAACTGTGATTTTGTTTCATACAGTCTTGCATCATATATTTTTTTCCTACCTTATTAATTTAATATATTTTTGAAGAGAAGGAGCTATGTAAAGCTTCCATATGGGCCCATGTTGGAATTAGGGGTATATTAGTAGGGTATAAAGCATATTTGAGTTGAAGATTTTTAATATTATGTATTTAACTTTCAAGTTGAAAAGATATGCACATGCAGGAATATTTTCAGGTTAGATTGGTGCATTTTTGGAAAGTTGTGAATTTTTCAGTACAACATCTCAATTAAATTCCACATGAGACCACAAGTTGTGTTTTTATTCTACCATTTATATTACAGGTACAGCTTATTTTAACAATCAAAAGTTAGAACATGAAAGTAAAGTGTTAACTTTACCATCTGATACATAATTTCTAAGTTTTCACTCTTAATATAAACTTAGTGGCGCTCACAGGGCCACCTAACAAAATCCGAACACAAGCCATTTGTTCACCAGACACAAGAGCTGCCGGAGCAAAATTGTGAAACTTGCTTTTCTGAATTTTATTTTAGGCAATGAAATAAAAATCAGTAAAGTTTGTATCACCGTCAGGTGCGAGAATTATTTAGAATTTATAAAACACTCCGAATTACTTGATGATTCGAATCTCGGTGAATAGAGTGTATTACGCCAAATTATTTGGCATGCACACTTCTCGGCCCTAAATCCTAGCGATGTCTTTCTTGGGGGCCATTTGGAAAACTTGGTGTATCGTGACGGAGAAGTGAATACCGTGAAAGAATCGAGACACCCTGTATAGCCCCACATTTCCAAATCAGGATCAGTTCTCGATGACGAATAATGAATATATTTCTCGGCATGTTTTCTGTGTCCCAATTAGTAGTATATTGTCAAGAAGTACAAATGCCTATGAATTAACATCACTCAAACTCTCGTTCATTTCAAGATCTTTTATCATTGATTAACTTTTCCAAAGTAAAACATTCAGTACATTTAAGTTTCGATCAGGTCATCGGAGTTCATAGACGTCATTTCGTTTATAATTTGCAAAGAAACCGCTTGCCCCGCGATGATACCCAGGTTAACAGTATCGAAAAGTAATGACCATTCCGGAAAATTGCGAATGTAGCATCGATTTCAAATATAAATAGAACCAGAATCGATAAGGATGTTCATTATTAGTTCAATCGTAATTCATTATCAACACAAGGTATTATTAGTTCAAACGTTATTCGATTCGTCACTATAAGAATTATTATATTAAAATCAGGAATTCCACCCATTATCCTCAAAAAATGTGCACCAGAATTAACACCGATTCTCTGCAAATTGTTTACCGTCTCGTACAGGTCGGGTATTTTTCCATCATGCTGGAAGACAGCTAGAGTCCAACCAATCCCCAAAAAAGGGAACAAGAACCTGCCTAACAACTACAGGCCCATTGCCCTGTTATCAGTAATCTCCAAAGTGATGGAGAAAGCCATCAATATTGAGCTTATCAAATATCTGGAGAGCTCAGGAATCATCAATGATAGACAATACGGCTTTCGCCACCGAAGATCTACTGGAGATCTACTTGCTTACGTCACCCATTTATGGCAAGCTTCATTAGAAAAACACGGGGAATCTCTAGCTGTCGCGTTGGACATATCGAAAGCATTTGACCGTGTTTGGCACGAAGGACTCCTCCACAAACTACCATCATACGGCTTACCATCTCAGCTATGCCATCTCTTATCGAGTTTTCTTTCAGACAGATCGCTTCATGTGGTGGTGGACGGTGTATCGTCTGATACAGGAAACTAAGAACTCACGGCGCAGGCAGGTCAATGCTGTCAATGAAGACCTTGCTGAAATCACAGCCTGGGGAACCAACAACCTAGTTGAATTCAACGCCACCAAAACTCAAGCATGTATTTTCTCTAGAAAGGCGGAACTCAGTATGCCCGACATTGTAATGTCAGGCACCACCATCCACACCAAGCCCACCATCTATGCTCGGTATTTCCACCAGCAACACTCTTTCATGGGATAATCATGTGAGATCCATCGCAAAAGCTGCTTCACAAGAACTCGGATTCTTGTTCCGTGCGAAAAGCTACTTTACACCTCATCAGCTCCTCATGATCTACAAGGCGCAGATACGGCCTGTTCTAGAATACTGTTCCCACATATAAGGGTTCAGCACCAAAACATACGCTGATGCTCTTAGATTCCATCCAGAGAAGAGCCATCCGCCTGGTGGGTGACGCCACACTCACTCACTCTTTGACATCATTGGAACACCGTAGAAAAGTCGG